TGAGAGACGAGCTGCTGAAACCAGAGTTCTCCTGATAACGCATAAATTCAGAGGGCCAACACATCACACGCGACTACTTTCTCTGTTGATCAACACCTTGCCGCCAAGTCCTCGTGGTCCGAGCATATACGGTTTCTAGTGGCGGCCTGTCCCTTAACGCTATTTTTGTGACAGCCCCAGGCACGAGCCACGTATGCGCTCATAGTTCCCACCCATCCGCCACACTCCTTCTCTTCTACTTTCTTTCTTTGGGGGGAGCATCTCAAGCATTCGATCTGCTTTTGCTGTCAGACGGACAGCACTGCTGCGAAATATCTACGTGTTTAGGTGACCCCATCCGAGATCCCCAGCTCCACTGTACTAGCTCAACCCAAGAGCCGTTGCCGACGATGCCCTCACGTTCGTGCGCCACCATCACCGTTGTTGCCACTGCTGCTTGAATGCCGCGGCTCCCCCACGACCAATTGCGCCCCATTGCAGCGAACCTTCCGCGACCGTTGCGTCCACCATGAGCCGCAGCACCGCCGCCGACTCGGTCGGGTCGCTGCTTGCTGAGATTGCCAATTTTCTCGTCGACGGCGTGAGGATCCTGAGCTTTTCTGATAGGCGACATTGGGGCCCGGACGAGCACGAGCAGCTCCGTGCTCTGGAAGACGCCCTCGACGAGGCCAAGAAGGACTTCCAGGGCCTTGCGCCGCTGGTGAATGGGCAATCCCATTACGAAAACGACCGCTCACGTACGTGGCCAGCTTACCATATTCCCCAACCCAACCTCCTTTCCGTCCGCTGCTTATCTTACTAGCGAAGACGCTGATTAGGGCCCTACCGAATGAGGAAAGATGGTCCTGAAGGCTAACATTCGTTGTTATAGATGACTCTCTTGTTGCTCTGCGACAACTTCGAAATAATTTTTCTGCTCACATTGGCTGCTTAAAGGATTGGAGCCGATTGGGCGGCCCAATCGACCCGGCATGGGTCCGCGATACCCAAGCTCTGCAACGAGATCTCCACCGCGCGCAGTACCGTGCGGCTGGTCGAATATTCGCATCGGGGCAGGAGTCCTCTACCCGCTGCCTGGGGGCTTTCCTGGTCTACCGGCAGCAGCGGGCGTGGAGGAATAGGCAGGAACTGAGCGTGGAGGAAGGGGGTTACCAGAGAAGACACTTGGAAGAGCTGAGGGTTTGTAATAATGCTGGGGGTTTCCACCGCCATGGAGAGGAAGATATTGCTTTTATTTGCGACTTTTGCGATGGCCACCTGATTTGGGAGGATTTGGATAAGATGCCCTCCGTGCGTACGGCACATGATAACTCGATATGGACCTCGTCACCAACCGCGACTACTCTGCCGCTGGCAAATCCCCCACCTACAAACCAGCCCTCGCCCTCACCCTCGCCTGTGCCCCCTGCCCAGCGCCCCGGACAGCCACAGTGGCAAGCCACCGGGTTCTCCAAGTCCCAATATGAGCAGAAACAGGTTGTCTTTGCCCCTGTGGCGATTGCGAACCACTCAGTGCCGATAGGCGGCGGCTGGCAGTCCTTTATTACATGTCCCTTCTGTGAAGATGACGCAGATGGGCCGAGAGACACGGATGACGAGGAAGATGTATGGCAGCCAGACGGCCTCTTTGAGGACGTGGCATCCTTCCAAGAACATCTAGAATGGCAGCATCCAGCCCTTTCCGCTGCCACGCCAGCCGAGTCGGCTTGTCTGGTGATGTGACGAGCCACCCCCCTTTCCCCCCGCTGAGAAGACATACAGAGCGAAAGCCACACCTGCGGATGGATGGTGTGGCGCACAGAACATACACCTACATTGCTAACGGCGTTCTCGGACACACGGAGCGGATACACATTCACAGCATGACATTGATATTACTAGTTATTTATGATAATGATCGGAAAGCGAATTAATAATCTCATGACTAGATGAACACCTAGAGGGACCGAAAGGAAGAAGGATCGCAGGATATAAAATGCTAGTACCGAGATTGGGCGCCTAGTGTACATTAGACCAGGGAGAAGGGGACAATTTAAATAAAATATATATGAATAAAGAAGAAGAAAAAATGAATAAACGGACAAATGCATTTGTGATCCCAGTAGTATTCCCGCTACCTAACGTATTACAGTTCTTTTCGAAACATTGAAAAAAATTCCAAAACACCTGCTTGCTCACTCCCCCCCTTTAGAAGAACCTCCACCATATGAAGATGAGGACGATGAGCCCGAGCCCGGCAAAGGGCCCGTACTGCTTGAGGAGCAGCTCCCAGTTGATGCGCACGGCGGCGCGGCGGTACTTCTTGCTGTCGTCGCGGAGGCGGCTGCTGATCTCGCCCATGCGCTCGAGGCTGTCCCCGCGGTAGAGTAGGTCCTCGATGTTCTTGGTCATGATCTTGGTGACGTCGCGCAGCTCGTCGTTGAGCTGGTCGAGGTTCTGGCTGGCGCGGGAGTCGGCGTAGACGGCCTTTGTCTTGGAGATGAAGTTGTCGAACTCCATGAAGGCGTAGGGCCGCAGCTGGGGGGAGTGGACCTGCTGCGGGGGGTAGACGGTGGTGAACTCGCGGCTGAGGTCGGAGAGGTAGGTGAAGGCCAGCTTGCGCGGGTAGGAGTGGTCGCAGATGGTGAGGAAGACGATGTCGGACTCGATGAGGTAGTGGAGGGTGAAGGAGCCGGCGCAGTCGACGGACGCCTGGGACTCCGAGTTGCGGGTGAGCTTGCGGAGGACCTGGCGGACCTGGTTCTTCACCTCGTTGAGGGAGCCTTCGGCCTGCGATTTTGTTCGAAGTTAGACCAGGGATTAGGATGGGGGCGGCGGGGTGAGGACGGACTTGTTCTTCGTCGACGGAGGCGCAGAGCATCAGGCCTGGAGACGGGGGACTTGGATTAGCTTCGAGAGTCGCATTTGGGGTGGCGGCGGGCGGGCGTACCGTCCAGCCGGGATATTTGCGTTGATCGAATCATTGCGGATGTGTGTGTGGTTGTGCGCGAGGAGGTAGACGAGGCGAGAATCGCAATTCGGGTAGGGCGTTTGGTGGTTTTTGGTCGTCGCTGAGGCTACACGTGTCCAGGACAAATGGCTTGTGGTCGACGGGTCAGGCAGCAGGAAATGTTGCCAACTATGTCAATCGGGGTAAATCTCTCTTTGTGGGAATTTCGTGGGTAGCGTTAGCGAAAGGCTGTAAAATCAAGTGCGGTCGCTATTAGGAATCAGAAGTCGTGGGCATATACGAAGAATACAAAGGTAGAGAAAGGTGTATGAAATCAATTCAAGAATCAACGTAGCCGGACCAGGGGTGTTGCTTGGTGGTGTCTCCATCTAAGTTTAGAACAGGGTTCGTGGTCCCAGCCTCTCCTCCATCACAGAGATCTGCTTTGGCCTGCGCATCATATACAAGACTGGCCGAAGTGATGCAAGGAACTTGATAGCTTTGATCTCTTTTTTTTATATCTTTCTTTTCGTAGCTAAATTTCATCCTCTTCGTCGTCAAAATCATCCTCGCGGCCCATCTCATACAATATCCGTCCTCCCTCACCAGCTCCAATATCGGTCTGGGCATCAAAGTATGGGAGCACGATCCCCTCCCTATCCTTGCGCTGCTTTTCCGTAAGACCAAGATTGAATGTGCTCTCTGGTTCATCCTCCCCATCGCCACCTTGAGAATCCTCGGGCGCCTTGAACATGGTGTGGTCAGTCAGTAGAAATACCTTTCCGGGCCCTGCGCCCGAGGGTGCAGGTACAAGGATGAATTTCTCTGATACAGTTCTTCCGCTCCTGCGCCGTAGATCCATATCAATAACAACGCCGTGCCTGTCGGCTTCTTTACCAAGCTCTGTGAGACCAACGAGTACGCCCTCTCGGTCCTCCTTGAGACCCCACTCGGGCTCGACAAGGCTCCTGTTTCTCGCCTTTTGCCTTTCGATTTCCTGTTGCAGGCTTGAAAGACGTAGAATGGCAGTGGCGAGATGACATAGAACAGTAAAAGGGTGTGGCTCATACTCATTCCACGTAGGAGGGAGGATGACGGGCACATCTGTGTGATAGACGGGTACTAGAGAGACCGCCGGAGTGAGGACGCTGGAGAGAAAGCTGGCCATAGAATGAGGCGCCGAGGAAGCCAGAGCATTCAGAGAGTCTATAACGACAATAGCACCTACAACCCCAAATGTCAGCACCTCACCATGTTCGCTGTCTAACCATTGCTCTGTGACTCACGCTGCGTTGGTTTGTCTTTTTGTGTGCTTGGATCGAACGGAGGGTAGTGCGATACCAGCTCTGCTCTCACGTTTTTGAGTTCCTTGCCGGCAGCTTTGACAAATACATCTGCATCACGGGGTTTCTTCAGAGTTGTGAAGGAGAGGAAGATGACTTTGGCTTTGGAGATCTGCTGTCCCGTCAGTCCCATACCCTGCTAAAACACTTTCCTCTTTGATTTTTTTCTGTCTGCTATCATGGGATCTCATACCTTTGCTCTAGAGAAAAATTCGGATATGAGAGGCTGTGCTGTTCCCTCTAGGCTATCGAGGATAAGGGTGAGCGGACTGGCGCCATCGCGGAGGTTCAGTAGCTTTTGCAGTAGGAGGAGTGAGTGCGAGCGGGTGTGTGCGTTGTTTGCTGGCGCCATCTTCTTCCTGCGCTTTGCGCCTCGCCAGTTATCAGTGCCGATGGAAAGTACTAGGTCGGGTATTTGATATCTGTACTGTTAGGGTGAGATGTTCCGTGCGGCTGTTGTTGGAGGGTGAAAATGTTTTTGGCATGTCTGACGTCGATACGCTAAACTTTGGTGTAGCACTCCACAAACTTCAACCAAAACCGGGCGAGTGTTCATGTAATCTTTTCCACATCACGTCTCGCTCCATGTCTGGTGATTCTCGTTTAATGATTTTTCTTAGTCTAATTTTGTTTTATTTCATTATTCTCAAGTAGATGTTGGCAAATCGCTATTCCTCGTGATAATCGTCGACTAAAGTAACAGCGCCCTCCTAGGGAGCAGCCAGGCATCATGCTAGCTCGTCCTTCTCGTCTGCGATCCCAGATACGTGGATCGTTGAACCCCGCCTCTGCTTCCATGAGGAGGGAGTCGGTGCTTCTTGAGGCTGGGGGTCGTCTGCTTGTAGTTCATCGATTGACATGGCGTCGCTGTCGACTGCATCGCATCTCGCTACTTTGGTCGGGGTTTCGGTTGTCAGATCTTTCATTTCACTGCCACCCGGGCCGCCGTCTCCATCTTGTGTTTCCCGTGGGGTCGCCTCTAGAGCTTTATTCTCCCCGTTGACGGCTTCATTTTGGCTGCTGCCGCGGTTTACTTGTCGCTTTGGCTTGAAGTCTTGTGGAAGTTGAACCTGCCACTCAGCTTCGAATTTGTCTGCGAGATGCTCGTCGAAATCCCCCAATTTGCGTCGCTCATGCGCTGACCAAGCGCTTGCGAGCCACTCCGGATCAAAACGACCCAAGGCGATATTCTCAGTGTAGGTGGCACAGTCATGGCGGAAGGTGTCATCGTTCATCAACGACATCAAATTGGGTCGCGCATTCTCACTGTCTGGGTCGAGAATGTGCTCTTTGTCTGGGAATAAGGCGAGTATCTCTGCCTTGTCAGTGGCATCAAGTATTTCCCATGCCACTGGATTTGCCAGAAGCCTCTGTTCAAAAGCAGGAGAGCGTTAGCGATCACAACTCTCATAATGGAAACACCCAAGTTGTAGTGTGTGTCGTGGGGGTCTAGGTACACACTCTCAGATCGGCCTTTGCGAGGGGGGACTTTGGGTTGATGACGATATTTTCAGCGTCCCATTTTCGCGCCTTGGTTGGCTTGGTTGGGCGTTTAATAGTCACGGTGGAAGCTGGCTTTGCGTCCTCGCGCGATGTAGGATTTCGCCACCGCTCGCCGGAAGAGGTGGTGTTGGCCCTGCTCTCGTCTTGTGAAGATTGGGTGGAATCTGTCGGTAGAATATCAGATTCAACGAGAGACGGGGCTGAAGAGAGACTTGACGAGCTGGTGTCCCCTTGTTGATCATGTTCGTCCTCCATGTTTTAAATGCTCGGTGTTGACTCCTTTGGTGGTGCAATTACTCGGATAAGGGTTGGGGATTCAATGAGGCCGGGCAGGTGATGGGGAATCCACTAGAGGCCGAGAGAAAACTGCGTGCAGCATTGCTCTATCAGCTATGCAGGTACTTGGTTGCAAGAGAATCTAACGCTCGAGATGCCTGCGGAACATGAGACGGCTGCCTGAGATGATGGCTAACCCAGGCGACAACTTCAAGACGGTACATGAATGATGATGCGCAGCTGTTAAGCCGTTGGAGACACCTGCTGCGACAATCTTGTGTTTAGGTGACTGTTTCGGCTTGGCGCCATCGCCGCTCTTGCCCAATCGCCGTTTCAGTACCCACCATCTACCGCAACTGTCCAAAGTTTGTGCAAGCTCAGTCTGAAGAATTCCTTCCTCCGCATCCACGGAGCAGGTGGCGTCAGTGAAGACTTACCTCGTACCTAGTTTCCAGCCCACGGCCTCGCTGTATCTGGTACAAACCTTCGGCCATTGCTGACTCTACAATGCTCATGATCATCTTCCCTTCTGCCTAACTGTCTGGCATACTACCTTAGGGTAGTACCTTAGGGTGCTCGAAGCTTTGAGGGAGCTCCACGATCCACGCTTTGTAAGTGCTACAAGTAATTCAGGATAATACGGCACTGAAGTATGTGCTTTCGGGGTGTCGAAGGCGGGGTTCGATGGTGACCCGTGAGGGGGATCGTCGACAACACCCCACAGCGAACGGAGAAATATGAGCTCGCCCGAAGCTTCGGCCCTCACCCGAACCATCTTTGGCAGAGCTGAAGCGCCCGGAGGAACTTCTTTGGGAGCTGACACGAACGTTAAGGGGGCATTTTCCATCAAGAGCGAATAGATGACGGTACCTCTACACTCGCATCTCTTGTCCCCCACCTCTGGCTGCTAGGATAAAAGGGTGGTATTATTACCCGCCGCCTAAGATACCTAGCCAGCCTATAAATGAATCAGCTTCCCTCCACTTCCCCAGTCCATGCATACTTGATTTCTCATGTACAGCCATGATTCCACTCCTGTATGATCCATACATATCAGAGCCCAATTCATGAAATAAATTTGACTCCGTCGTTTCAACATGCCTGTCCATCTTGGCTACGATGATGTCCATCCCTTCTCCAAGGTAGACATCAAGGATAAAGCTTCAGTGCAAGAGCTTCTGCGCACCGTCCTCGATCCTCTGGAACCATTCTTCTCGCCCCAGAAAGCACGAGTCAGATGCCCCGGTGCGACTGCGGTTCGCTTTGACCAGACGGCCTCGGAAGTAGAAGGGTTCGCTCGTCCACTATGGGGCCTGGCATTTCTGTTGGCTGGTGGCGGCGAGTACCGAGGGACAGAGTGGTGGGTTCAGGGGTTGAAGACAGGAACTGACCCTGAGCATCCCGAGTACTGGGGCTATCCTCGTGACAATGACCAAAGAATGGTGGAAATGTGCCCTCTGGGTATGTGCAAGCCCCCACGTATTCGACGAGAGACTGATCACAGTGCTAATCATTCCCATGTTTAGGATATGCACTTGCTGTAGCACCAGTATTTTGGGACAAGTTGACAGACAAAGAGAAGTCCAATGTGGAAACTTGGCTAGGAAACTCCATCAACGAGAAGAAGTTAGTCCAGGTCGAGAGGATCACTGCTGTTAAAGATATACTAATTGCTTAATTATAGTATGCCCAACACAAACTGGCTCTGGTTTCGAGTTTTTGCAAATCTCGGGCTGAAGAAAAACGGCGGCAAGTTCTCGCAGGAGAGATTGGATAGTGATATCAAGCATTTGGACACCTTTTACCGAGGTGGCGGTTGGTCCAACGACGGCCCAGAGGGCATTCATCGTCAGTGTCCCCAAGCATACAATGGACTGTTTGTCGAAAAACTAACATCGTCTGTTTGTAGAAATGGACTATTACTCTTCGAGTTTTGCCATCCAGTTTTTGCAGTTGATATACGCGAAACTGGCAGGGGATGACGATCCCGAACGAGCTGCCGAGTTCAAAAAGCGTGCGCAGCTGGTAGCCCTGGATTTGGTTCACTATTACGATGACGAGGGGAGAGCTATTCCGTATGGACGAAGTTTGACATATCGGTTCGCCATGGTTTCTTTCTGGGGAGCGCTGGCTTATGCTGATGTTGAACTGCCTGCACCTCTGACCTGGGGCATGGTCAAGGGTATCGTACTTCGACATCTGCGCTGGTGGCAGACTCAAAATGCACTTTGGACATCAAGCGGCACCCTATCACTCGGGTACTCATACCCGAATATGTATGTAAGTTTTGTCACATCATTATTTCTAGTTTTCCACGATCTCAGTAGGCTGACCCTCAATACTGACCCTCAATAGCTCACGGAGAACTACAATAGCCCCGGAAGCCCAGTAGGTCAATTCCAAAGTGTATACTGATTATATTCTAATGCGTCTCTTAGTATTGGGCATGTCTTGGATTCTTATGCTTAGCCGTACCAGAGACTCACCCCTTTTGGACATCTGAAGAGGAGCTGCCCGGGAACTCAATCCCACGTGTCAAGGCGCTCAAACATCCCGGCCACATTGTAAGGTATGTCTAAATCCCAAGTACTGACTGCAAGCCTTCAAGATTGTTTACATACATTATAGCTACCTCGGTGGTCACTGCATGTTACTATCTTCAGGGCAGGCCTGCAGCTATCCCATGAAAGCCACCCATGCCAAGTACGGTGGCCTGGCTTACAGCAGCGCCTACGGCTATTCAGTTCCTCCCGGGCTCTTCTCTCTAGAACAGTACGCTCTAGCATCACAGCTGGGATTCTCGGTTGATGGAGGCGAGTTTTGGAAGGCTCGGAGGGCAAATGAGTACGCCGCACTGGAATTTCGCGAGGATAAGCCCGTTCTTGTATCGGTCTGGAAGCCGTTCCCGGATGTCACAGTGAAGACCATTCTTGTCCCACCAACAGAAGAGACGCCAAATTGGCATCTTCGGGCTCACCGCATTGAGGCGGGCCGTGAGGTAATGACGGCCGATGGATCCTTTGCAATCCGCAACGTCAACTCGGAGAATGGGCGATACCTAGACCCGTACGATTCAACAAAGTGCGAGGGCACGCAACCTAAAATAATCGGCAACTATGATTTGAACACCCCAGAAGGCTGGGCTTCTGGAAAGATTGGAGCTTTTGCAGTCTCCAAAGGAGCCGTAGGAATCAAGGCATTAGAGTCCTGGGACGGGCGCCAAGCGAACCTGGTCAACGCCGATCCCAACTCCAATCTGATTGAGAGCCGTACGACGATCCCGACGTTACAACACAAGATTGGAAAGGGCGAATCGGTTTCGTACGTGACGGGCGTGTATGCAAAGCCGTCGGGCCCCAAAGAGCAGTATCTAGATGGGTGGGAGAACCCCCCTGTGGTTCCTGACTGGCTGGCAGCAGAGCTCAAGTAATTGATGAGAGGGTGTGAGGATGGCCACTCGGAATCATTCAAGCAGTAGCATATTGCGCGATTACCATAGCCCTGGGGGAATTGCCAGAAAGAAGCAGTTATGGAGATAGCATTAAGCCCGGCTCTCAGTCACCTGCGAGGCGATGCCAAAGAACTCACTCTGCATATTCTAGGTAGGCTCTGGGGAAGATCAAGTTGGTCCCGAACCAATGGCCGGGGGCAGTGGGTATTTACGAGATGAGGCGGGAGGAAATTCTCCTGTGGAGTTAAGATGAAGCCAACATTGGGGAAGTTGGGGAGATTGGTTGTGTACATCCCAGCCACCTCCAATATCCCCAGAGGAGCAATCTGCATAGGTCACCTGAGTCAAATGATTTAAACTCAAACCTCCTCTTTTGCCATGGAAGATCTTTGCGGCTTATTCTTATCGGCCGTAATCCTTCTGACAATACGATGATCCATACCTTCTTGCATCCAAGTCCGAAGTCCCCAATGTGACTCGAGAAAGGACTATTTGTGGAGAGTGTCGATCCCCCTCTGGGCTTTGCTTCTGGACGAGAGATAGCCTAAAGGTCAGTCCACAAGCCTTCGCGGAAACAAAGTCGAAAGGAGGGGATGCAACGTAATAAGCATATTCATCAATTAATCCTACCCTACCTTATCCGACCTGGCTGCCTCTTCCCATCCATCATGAGATTTGGAGACTCCCCGCGCGGAATGCACAAACCACCCTCCCGTAACGGAAATGCCGATTCATTCGTGGAACTCAAATTGTCCGGTCATCACGACTAGGGGATGCCACATCAGATGCTACCCCAGGAAGCTAGCTGTGCAAATCCACCGAAGTAGCTTTCTACACTGCGTTCAAAACACGGGATGGTTGTCCATATTGCCGGTGCCAAGGCTCCGCATGAAGTCATGTAGTACGGATCTATATCCTCTCCTAGGCTGTGTGCTAGAGAGGGCTATTGGAGGACGGAAAACGCTGTTCTCGTGCCGTAGCTGCCCATCATATGTGTTCACACCATGACGGTCGCACGGTGGCCATGTAGAGCTATGCACAGCCGCGCACCATCGATAGGCGAGCTCTCGCTTTGGTAATGGCAGGGCGTGGAGGGAATAAATGTTCACACCAATCAGACAGGCTGGGGCGATGGTGATGGGCGGCATTGGGACTCGAACGATCTCTCTCTCGGGGCCGGCCAAGGGTAATGTGCTCATAAGCTTGTAGGTAGAGCCAGTTATCACCCTATGGCCGGGGGTTGGTTTGGGGTAACGGGCGGATCTGGGGTCCCCGGGATATGTTGATTGGTGGTGTAAGAGTAACACCGAGAGAGGAGCGCGGTATTGTATATCTGCTGTAAAGAGTGTCTCTCTTTGTCCCTTGTCTAGGCGCAGGTTACCCCTACTTATGAGTCTCCCCCTTCCCACCTTTGCCAGTGTTGCTGCTGCTCATCCCATCTGGCAACACACCAATTGCCCATCCTCACTTGGATTAGCTCTTCATTCTTCAGCTTGCTCGAGAGCCCATAACTTCCACCATGGGCACGATCGTCAAGATTCTGCGGCGCGTCATCCGCAATGATGCGATGAAGGAGGACCCCGATGAAATCTACGGATGGAGGGTCTTCGCGCTCGTATTTGCCGCTTGCTTCGGAGGAATGCTCTTTGGTTGGGACACCGGTGCCATCAGCGGCGTCCTCCAAATGAAAGCAACCCAGGAGAAGTTTGGCTATGCGGGCTGGTCCAAGGCTGACCGGTCATTGATGGAGCAGAACATTGTGTCGACTCTTCAGGCTGGGTGCTTCCTCGGCTGCATCATTACCGGCTTCCTGGCTGACAGGTTCGGTCGCCGTCTTTGTCTCATGGCTGCCGGCTGTCTCACGGTCGTTGGTGTCGTTTTCCAGACTGCTTCTGCTGCCAATGGCACCATCGGTGTCATGTACACCGGACGCTTCATTGCTGGTGTGGGTGTTGGCTCTGCTTCCACTCTCACACCTCTCTATGTCTCCGAATGTGCGCCCCGAGCCATTCGTGGTGCTTTGACTGGTAGGTTTTGCGATTTGACATGGGAGAAATTTCTAGTACGGGAAGAATGGACCTAATTCAATCAACAGCTTTCTATCAGCTATTCAATGTTACTGGTATCATGATCTCGTTTTGGTGAGTACTCGCCATAGACCTACAGTTTCCCGGATGCAATAAAATCTAACAACTGGAATGCTAGGATTAACTACGGCTGTCTTTTGCATGTATCTGCACCGGCTGTCTATATTATTCCTTTGATCCTGCAAGCGACTCCTGCCCTGTAAGCGTCCCTGGTCCCCGTCCTCAATTGCCGCCGCTGACCTTTCCCAGCCTTCTCATCCTCGGAATGTTTCTGTCCCCTGAAAGGTATTATCTCTAAAAATAAAAGCATTGCGAAGTGAATCCCAACTAAATTTAAACAGCCCTCGCTGGTGTGCTCGTAAAGACGATTGGGAGAAAGCAGAGACTATTCTTGTTAGCCTACGCGGGTAAGCTTGCTGGATCCCTCTACTTTAAAGACAATTTAAACTGACCTTGCTTCCAACAGAATGCCAAGTGATTCTGAATACGTTCGAAACGAAATCAAGGAGATGTCGGATCAGCTCGAGACCGAAAGGCGCCTAACAGGAGACGCTGGCGCAAAGGTGCTGTTCAAAGAGATGACGACCATCCCTGCCAACCGAAAGCGAACTTTGATCTCGGTTGCTCTGATGATCTGCCAGCAAATGACTGGAGTTAACTCTATTGTGAGTGCAATAATCAAGTCTTCACAGTGTGACTTTGGTGGAGAGAAGGGGGCGATATCGAAACTGTCGACTGTGAAGCTCTGACTAACAAAATGTGCTACAATATAGAACTACTACGCCCCCCAGATCTTCACCAACCTTGGAATGACTGGCACAGACAGTTCCCTCTTTGCTACTGGAGTCTACGGCGTCGTGAAGGTTGCAGGTTGCGCCGTCTTCCTCATATTCATTGCCGACTCTCTCGGTCGCCGCCGAAGTCTCATTTGGACCAGTGGTGCTCAGGGTCTCGTCATGTACCTCATTGGAATCTACGGCCGAGTTGAGCCTCCTGTGGTAGGCAAGCCCGTCTCCTCCTTCGGTTATGTGGCCATCACCTGTATCTACCTCTGGGCAGCGTAAGTATTCGGAACAACTTGTCACTCTATCCACACCTCTCTAACAGACGAATCTAGGCTGTTCCAATTCGGTTGGGGCCCAGTTTGCTGGATTCTCATTTCTGAGATTCCTACCGCTCGACTTCGAGCTCCCAACGTCGCCCTCGGTGCCGCTACTCAGTGGCTGTTCAATTTCGTCATTGCCAGAAGTACGTTGCTCGACAGCACATTCCAAAACTACCCTTACAGAATCTAATTATCGTCCATAGCTGTTCTCACCATGCAAAATACCATGGGCACTGCTGGGTATGGTATGTTCTTCATGTTCGGAAGTTTCGACTTCATCATGGGCACATTCGTCTACTTCTTCGTCCCCGAAACCAAAGGCCTCACCCTCGAGAAGATGGACGAGCTGTTCGGCGTGCCAGAGCAGGCCAAGAAACTGGACGAGGAGCCCGAGGTGGGACGGATTGAGGACAACCGCGTCGAGACGATCGAGGATGATGGACCAAAGAAGAAGTAAGGAGCGAGTTGTTGACTCCGTTGGGGTTGGGTTTAGTTCTGGCTCTCTGTTTGGTCGGGGGTGTGAACCCGCATATTCGAGTTGTTTGGATCTACTCTTCAGCAACAACTTTGGCGCATAACGACGCAAGTTTTTTGTGTGGGCTTCAACATTTATGATACCGGATGTTTGCTGTATGGCCATGTAGCAGGTTGGTAGAATCGTGCCATTCAATATGATTAGCAGTCTAGTGATCTCGCTCTCTCCCAACCAGCGTGGGATGTAGCTTGCGGGAGCTAACTGCCACTTGGTAATATTTGCTTTTCTCGATTGAGACATCTTGTTTACCTGACTGCTCAAAATTCGGCAGTGGTGTTCTAAAATACCTACCTGGGTATACTGGAGAGATTTTTGTTTTAGGAACAGGTAGAAACATGAAGAAAGCTGAACGTGCTCAATTACACAACGTACCTACCTACCTACGTAGGGTAGCAAGCGGGTGAGTGAGAATTTGAGACACTCAAGCATTATACCACTTCCTCATTTTCTCTGTCACCCAGTTGGGTGGTAGGTAGTAGGCAGGCTTGGGCCTTCTGACATTTAGGATCTCAGCAGGTGTAGTGTGATAAGGGAGTGACATTGTAGATCGCTTGGGGAAAAAAAATATGTACATTGCATGGAACCCTGCAATAACGGCTGTCAAACGGCCTGCACCAGCCACTTTCACGACGCCTCATCCGCATGTACAGGGGCTGAGCAGGCCTGGAGCCGAAGAGGCTAGGGGGGTTTCAGAGGGGGTTCACACGAGCGGTCACTAAAATCAGAGCAAATGTGGGGGCATCCTTGTGGCTTGGCACTGCGACTAATCACCGACCCAATCCATCGAGATGCTGGCGAGCTGTCCCCTTATTGACTGGAGTTGAAGCTACCTACACCCAGCACTCTGCAAATACAGACTGTCGTGGACGCCGGGAACTGGATAACCGACTTGCGCAGGCCGGAAGATCGACAACGACTCGAGCCCGAGAGTATCTCCGCCTCTGCAGCCAAGCTCGCAAACCAGCCGCCTCCTTGGACGAGCCATGAGCTCAGCTCGACGACTACATCGATCGTAGTGGACAATGCTCAACAACCAACAAACCTAGAATGAGCTTAGATCCTCTGCTCCCTATCGCTCCTGCGAGGGTGAAGGCCCTGCTACTACCCATTAGCCAGATTACTTCCACCAGATTCGACTCCTTTGTCACCCGGCTAGAGGGCGAACATGTTGTCCACCTCAGGGACATCAGCGCCGATGGGCGGCCGCATCGAAGTAGGCGCTCTCCACACAAAGAGATGAATGGCGATTCGGATACTGACCTTTTCCTGTATCAGACATGTTTTCGCCGTTGGCCTACCCAGACGGCGCAATGATTTACGACCTCATTACCTACATACCGCCCCCTTCTCACCTTGCCCTTACGCCTTTCGATTTATACCGCGAGCCAATGGCTGTTGTTGCGCTGGCTGATGGGCGGGAGATGGGGGAGGTATCCTTCAGCAGGCGGAACTCTGCGAACGGTACGGGGACAACGGTCACGGAGAAGAATATTCGATCTCTCTACCAAGACCTGGAGGACCTGCGTGACCGATTTCCCAAAGCGCTCGCCCACCAGGTCTTGATATTCGACTATGTGCCCGATGCCAGCAACACTGTACCTTTACCTGAGGGTGTATTCGGTATCCCTCCTGTTGAGAAGAGCAAGAGGACTACTATCAAGACCGTCATGTGCGACATATCTTCGCAATTGCTGGCAGAGATGACCACGCTGGCCAAATCTTTTGAGGCTATGACCACGATCGAGTCGCCCGTCCATTACTCGGGAACGGCGCATATGAACGGCGATTGGTCAGCTGGGGAGGGCGAACATCACGAATTCGACAGAAGGAACTCAGGTACCCCCACGCTCCAATCCAACGGCCGAACTGCATCAGAGAGCGCGGCAGACCGAGCCCATGCCCGCATGTCCATGCCGCCGGTGTCGACTCGACCAACGATGAATCACAGCTCTTCAAGCCCCGGTATTGGTGGATCTCCTATTTCGCAAACCGGGCACTCTGGGTGGCCTGGTACCCCTGACTTGGGGCGAGACGCGCCCGGCACTCCTCAGACCCATTCTCGCTCAGAAAGCACGCATAGCTCTCGCGACCAGTCCCGCGATCGAGTATCCGTCCAGGGATTCGGCCCTGGCGGCCTGAACGATCGATGGAGGCTGAAAGGCAAGGGCAGGTCCACTGTCATCTTGGGTTCCATGTACCTCCAAGCCGGTCGGTGGAACGACTCATTAAGAGAACTGTCGGAGGCTGCGGTTGGGACAAGGTCGATTAACGATCACATTTGGCTCGGGAAAGCATTGGAGTTGATCGTCATCAACCTTTTCCTTCTCGGCTGGTCTGGTTTAGAATTTGCGATACCATCTGTGTGTATGCCGCCTCCGGAAGAGCGGAACAGGCCGTTGTATACGGTAATAGAGACGTTGACCGACTTGCCCGACCAACCCAAACGGCTGAGGATACTCCAACTCATTTTGGGAGATCTCCTGGACCGAATTATGAACTTGTACTCGAGGAAGCGGGCCGATGTGGAAAGGCTCCCCAAGCTGGCGTATTCGGAAACCACAATACGATTCTCGAAGATCCTTACGATTATGCACCTATGCAACGGAAGCTTGAACCAGCAGGCTCTCGACATGATTGTTACTGGCAGGCTACCAGAGAAGGAACTGACGACATCTCCCCGGATCCACATTGTACCTTCACGACGACATATTGTAAATATCTTGATGGATGCTTTCCCGGCATCACATGCATATGCTACAGAACTTCTTACAACAACCGACCGGGCCTCAATTCTGAGTGCCATAGCCACGATATTGGGGACGCTAGGCTTACATCGGAAGAAAGCAATGGTAATTCGCGAGCTTGTCTCTGTCCTCATAACTGGTCTTGTGGAGGCTCGGACGAGGGGCGCAGCCGAGGCAGGTATTCACCCAGCCGCAGGTTTGATATCGCATACGGCGGCAGGAAATCAGAATAATGGAACTGCACTGGACCTTGGTGAAGGGGATATGGAAAAGGGCATCGAAGCTTTCTTGGATATGCTCTGCAAATCATACGCTGTGATCGGATTCGAAAGGTCGCCCAGCAAGTCGGAAGATTCGACCGAGACTGGTCCCGATACAGACGAGGCCATTATTGCTAGGATACAGAAGCAAGCTTCGACAAGGTTTTACGGCTTCGAGGGTATCAAAATGAATATTCTACGCGCCTGCATCAATTTCTCAGAGGCGTTGCCGGATCTGAATGGAGTCCTAAGATATTCTGGCGATTTGCTCCGTACTGCAGGCGCCGGCACGGCTCCGGGTCCTCGCAGGGAAGACATATCACCAATGATCTTTGCTGAGGAGCAAGCTCGCCTTGTGACTAATATTGCCCGAACGTCAAGTCTTGCGCAGAGACTCAACTTAAACTCGCTGGCAGCTGAATACTGGGACGAATTCCTTGTTCGCGGTATCCAGCTGGAGCCTCTGCCTCCCGATCGGATACCAATTCCACACGCTCACAGCGTTCTGCCTGGGTCGACTGTGGGGCGTACATCGCAAGACGTTGACCCCTTCATCTACAACCCCTTTTTCAAGAAGCCAAGCGAAGTCGTCCAGCAATTCCTCGTAGCTGGAGAGCTTGCTACTTTTAGAATCACTCTGCAGAATCCATATGATATTGAGCTAGACCTTGAAAGCATTCGTCTCGAGACTACCGGTGTCGACTTTGAGTCTATCCCGGAGGCAGCAAGGCTGGGCTCCAACAGAACCCAAGTTTTGAGACTCAGAGGGCGACCTCTACAGGACGGTGATATCAAGGTGACGGGAGCCCTTATCAAGGTGCGAGGTTGCCGAGAGAGGAGATTTCCCATTTTCTCCCAACCGTGGCGTCCGGTGCGAGACAGTAAAATCAAAGTGAAGGGAATCGCTGCCCTGGAGGGCGGGGAGGATATCTGCCTGCGCAATTCCGCCCCTCCTGTCCCCGATGACCTGGACCTCACAGCAATCCCATCACAGCCCGTCCTGACCGTCAAATCCATGACTCTCCCGCAGGCATCAGTCATGGTTTTGGAAGGAGAGCGCCGAATCTTCTCGGTGACTTTGCAAAACGAGTCACCCACCCCAGTGGATTTCGTGTTGTTTTCGTTCCAGGATTCCACGCAAGGCCCTCTCCAGAATGCGCTCAATAATCGGGATACAATGCCCACCGAGATGTACGAATATGAATGGATCTTGATGAAGAAACAGGCGTTGCGGCTACCAAAGAAGAACCAGGAGCGTCAAATTCCAGCAGGTGGCGAAGCAACATATGAGTTTGAGATTCTCGGCAAACCTGGATTGACCCATGCCACAATTCAGGTGGACTATACGAATCTAGGCAAGCCACAGGACGAAGTCACGGAGCAGTTTTTCACCAGACAGGTGAGCGTGGATCTGACTGTGACCGTGAACGCCAGCATCGAAATGTCGCGATTGGACGTTCTCCCCATAGAAGGTGATATTCCTCAAGCGATCAAGGATAGGCATAGCGATTCGGATTCCTTGGATCTCAAAGACTATTGCTTGCTATCTATGGATCTACGAAATGCCTGGCCAAGCCATATCAATGTACATATCGAAACCGAAGATGGCATGGTGCTTGATGACAACATCCTACCCGGTAACATCAACCGCATCGTTCTACCCGTCAAGCGGGTATATTTGGAAGACCCCCATGCTTCTATTCCCAGTCTTAATCCCGGGCGGGATAGACAGTTTGTCGTCAGCAGGATTGCGCCCGAGATTGAGCGGATCAACCGAGAGGCCTTCTGGTATCGCGAGAAGCTCATGGAACGCCTGAAGGGAACATGGAAGACAACATCGGGGCAGAAGCGACATGGAACCCTTGAGCTCCGGACCCTACGACTGACACCTCGAATGATTGATGTCGTCAGGTTGGAG